ATAGTATTTGAAACATTTTTAGCTTATAAACTAAAATTTTAATTTTTTTGGAGTTTCCTCCCTTTCTATTGCAAAGGTCCCATATGGCTTTGGGGTCATATATTTCCTCCCACATATGCTTTTGGCATATGCTAACTTAGGTTTTTTTTAGAATTAATATATTTTTATATTTTAAAAAATTATTTATTTATTTATTTATTTATTATTAATTTCAATAGAATCCTGTATCTGCATTTGATAGATATATAACTATTAATAAAGATAAAGATTTTTGTAAAGATTTATTTTTAAGTTGACAAAATCAGATCAAAATTCTTCTTAAGAATTTTCGTGAAGTTATTAAAACTCTCTATAATTTTAACGTAAACCATAAGCCAAATTTAGCTAAAAAATATCTTCACAAATTTGTGACTTGTGCAGATATAGAGAATGAAAAGGATTTAGTGATTATTAATGAAAAACAATCAGTTATTTTAAAATGTGGTGATAAAATTATTGGTGGTATAATTCATAATATCGCTAAAAAAATATAGCAGATCATTTTGGATATAAAATGAAACTTATAGTAGATGCTCATTCTAAAATAAACTATGGACGAAAGACTTATGCTGATTCAGGAAAATTAATTAGTCATGATCTTCATGCAAATTTTTTAAATTCATCTACTACTAATTCATATGTATATAAAGAAAAAAACCTTAATCCTGAGGTGCAAAGAATATATAAGACCTTTGCAATAGAAAGGAAGGAAACTCCAAAAAAAATTAAAATTTTAGTTTATAAGCCAAAAATGTTTTAAATACTATAATTTGTTCAGATTTATTATTAACTTATTTTTTATTTTTTTTTGAGTTTTCTCCCTTTCTATTGCAAAGGCCCCATATGATCAGGATGGAGATAGTTTTGGAAAATGGTTATATGAAAATACTGAAAATCATATTAACATGATCTACACTATTATATGAAGCTTTTAAAGAAAAAGTAAATAAAAATGATAATCAGATGGTAAGTGCAGTATTTTGTGCTGAAAATTATGAAGCTGCGGGCATCAAAATAAAGATTGATCTGAATTTATAATAGGCTTTATTTATGAAATTGGTATAGTTAAAGAAGGATATTTTATTTATCCTAAATATAGTGTTGCTATCAAAATGACATCAAATTCAATATGGTGTTGGTTAACACAAGTTATACATGGTACAGCTAAACTTAATTTAAGTAAAAGTGGTGTTAGATATACTAGTGTGATTACTTTAACTGAAAAAACTGCAAAAGCAGTAAAAAAAGAAGCGGGTATTTAGATAGTTAAATTTTTTATATTATTTTTTATTATTATATATAAATAAAAAAAATAAATAAAATAGAATTTATACTTTATTTTTAATATATTTTATTAAATAAAATACTATTTAAAATAAATAAAAAAACTCCTAAAAATATTAAATCTATTAAATTAAACGATTAATAATAATATAATTTTTATAGTTTTAAAAATATTAATTTATTAAAAATACATTGTTAGGATTGTATTTTCTACAACAAATTTAAAATTTTATTTGTTTTAGTTTACTGAAATATATTCGATAACAGAAAGTAACCTAGTGTTCTAACTTCATCCGTTTTAAATACATAGTCTGGACATTTTTTGTATTAGAAAAATATATATATAATTCAATATAACTGGAATTTTCAGATTGATCAACATGTATAAATACTAAATAAAAAATGTAAAAACTGATTTGCATCTGCTTGTCAATTAATAAATAATATTTATCTAAATAAAATAAGATTTAGTATTTATTTAGTTAAATAATTAATTTATGCATCTTTATAATGTATATTTGCATCGATCAAATCTGATCAAAATGATAAAAAAAAATAATAAATAAAATAGAATAAATCAATTTATTTTTTCTTTTTTTTTAAATTTTTTTTAAAACAATAAATTTATTATTATAATAATATAATTTATTTCTTTTATAAATTATAAATTTTTTGTAAAATTATTAAATAAAATTTTTAATATAATGCAAGTATATATATATATAGTCAAAGTAATCTATAATGAATCTTCATTTATGAAGATCACAATTCATTATAATAAAAGAATTTAATAACATTTCACTGAATTTTTTAAGTTTATTCATTTTATGGTTATATCAAATATCATATATAAATTCAGTATATTATTTATAATATGATTGTCATTTTAATTATATATTCGAGAGGTTTAATGACAAAATTGATAAAAAAAAAATCCTTTCTGCTATAAACTTTACAAACTTTTATTCATTTTTTTTACCTGTCAAATCCATTCCTATAAAAGAATCTAAAGTAACTTATTGCTTGAAATAAAATTCTTCTCATTCTATAGCCTTTCGCAATTTTTTTATTGCCTGAATTTGGTCTTTTTGAAATTGAATTTTTTCAGCTTTTTATTTAACATACATAATTATTTTTTCAAGTGCTGCTAATGCTTCATAATTGCCAATGATGGAAACTTCAACTTCTTCTTTAATATCTTCTTTTGACTCTTTCAGAAATTTTAAATTTTCTTCATCAATTGTCATTTGATAAATATTTTCTTCTTTTTCATATTGAAGATATTCTTCTGCGAAGATTAGATCTTTGTATATATCTTTAGCTAATTGGTCAATAAGATCCTATATTTTATTAATATCATCAATATTATCATTAGTAAAAGAACTTTTATCATTAATTTCAATATTTTTATTATTATATGAAAGAATATCTATCTTTTTTCAACAATTTACAATTGTTTCTGATTGAACAGAATTCTATACTTTTGCTTTATATTTAATTGTCTTTTTAATAGTAATTTCAGATATAGATTGACCAGTTTTTAAACTATTATCAAATTCTTTAATACAATTTTTTAAAAACAATTTTTGATACTGTGCTTATATAATAAATATAAAGTATATATTAATTTAATATTAATTTTTATTTTATCTTATAATATGAATTTATTAATATATATTTATCTTAAAACTTCTAATTATTCTAACATTACATGGCTAAAGATGTGCTATTATATTGGAGGCAATTTATGAAGCTGAAGATGTACTATTGTATTGGAGGCAATTTATGAAGCTGAATATTGGTAAGAGTAGTATCTTCATGTAAAATATGAGTAGATGCACCATTATAGAGTAAAATTATATGTTGATTTTAAAATCGTAAGCGTGTATCAAATTTTTTAACTAATCATTTTAGACACTAACTTGCATATAAGCTATTTTGTTCTAATAATAGTATACTAGAAGAGATGATTTTACAACATTTTTTAAAGTACATAGATTTTGGCTTTTTTTAATAAAAACTGCTTTAAGTTTCTCAGTTCCAGAAGTATTACAGCATAGTATAATAGTAATACATTCTTTAGATTGCTTTTTTCCTACAACTAAGATAAATATTATTTAGTTTATTAGTTTATTTATAATTATTTATAATTAATTATATTAATCAAATATATTTTTAATTTTTTACCTAGTCTAGTTGACAATATACAATTTGGTTCCATTTTCTAGTAAAGTCCAGTTTTTATCTGTATTAAAAATATCATCTGGTAAATAATCTGCAAAAATACTTTAAAGATTTTTACATATATCATCCAAAGCTTCTAAAGGAACACTTGCTGATTCTCCATATTTTAGGTAACATTCAAGCTTATAACATTTTTTGAAACCTACTATCCATCCTTCTGATCCTTTAAAATCTGGTTCATTTAACAATATTACAAAATTATGTGCTTTTTGTGCCAATAATTCACTATTAATGGTAATATTATTTTTTATTGCTTTTTCAATTCAGAAGCTTAAAGCCTCTTCAATTTGTGAAAATTTTACTTTAACTTATCTTTTAAGTGAAGCTTCATAAGATTCTGATTTTAATTCTAACTATTTTTTCTTCTCTTTTAAAATATCACATATCATTCTTTCTGATACATCATATTCTTTAGCAAGTTCTTTATTTTTAGGTTTTAGTTTTTGTAAACTTTTTAAGCAAATTTTCTATTCTGAATACCGGTAAGAGAAGCCCTAATTTTTTTTATTTTAGGAGTATTTTTGTCTTTTGATATTTTTAAATAAAACGTTTATCAAAAAAATTTACAATACAAGAATTATGATCGGTTTAATTTAATAATGTAAAAATAATATAAAATTTCCTTTAATAGTTATCGTAGAAATATATTTACTATTAAAAAAAAATTTGTTATAGTTCTTAAAATTTTGACAAAAAATTCAATATCAAAAAAATTCGTTTAATCAAGTATTATTTTACTATACTTTACTATAATCCATATTACATCACTAATTCATTATATGTTATAGTAAATTTATTAGAAAAATTCAGTTTATTTAAATTATATAACTATATATAATTTGGTATCACTCATATGATTCACAATACCATGAAATTTAAAATACAGAAATTCATTATAGATCACTTTAACTGTGCTTATAACTTAAAATAATATATTTAAATTTTTGATTTTTGATTTTTAATTTTTATATATATAATAATTTATAGCATTTATTATAGCAAATAAATTGTAGTTAGATATGCTAAATATGAAAAAATGACACTAATCACAATGTCGTATTAAATTAAATTTGAATATAAAAGATTAATCTAGATTTAATTGATATGTTGAATTAATTTTTTGTAAAATTTTTTCTTTTAACAAATATCTAAATAATATTTAAAAAATATAAACAATCAAATAAAATTATAGAATTAGATTTTGACAATGATAACTCAAGTTCTACTTTTCTAGTATATCAAAAGAAAAGAAAAGTGATGTATGAAATCATTTTGATAAATTTAAAAATGATAAAGGAATTTTAAGAGCAAAATATTGATATTATAATAAAGGTGTATATAATATGAGTGATTCAAATTCTTCAACTAAAAACTTATTTAAACATCTTAAAAGTCATCCAGACAAAACAACTTCTTCAGTTAATAAACAAGCAAATTTTATGATTAAATTTTTAAATAAAGATTTAAATATAATAAATATATATAAAATTATTATTATTTTTTATTAATAAATCAAATTTAATTATACAGAGGATGGATAAAAGTATCTGCATACCTTTCATAAACGTGAATTAATACTAGTAAAATCATATGACTGCAATAATAAATTGTATTTACATGATACTTAAGTATTTACTTATATTATAAAAATAAAAGAATAACAATTTTATTTTTTTTTAATAAATTTTTCTTCTTTAAAAATCTAAAAAAAAATGGTAAAAACTAAAAAATTAACTGAAATGATTTTTCAAGCAAAAACAATCTTCATATATTATCTTGACTAACTCAAAGTCCCGATCATAATCCAATTGAGAATCTTTGGGCTAAAGTCAAGAAAAGCATCTAAGCTTATAACAAACCTCTATATAATCTTACTGATCTTGACTGATATGTTAAAAAGGTATGGTAAAAAATTCTGAAGCATCTATCAAAAACTTAGTCGATAGTATATTGCAATAAATTCAAGCGGTGATTGCACAAATAGTGATCTAACTAAGTACTAGTTACTTAGTATAAAATGTAGATATTAATCAGCTTTAAATAAAAAATTAATTGACTTTTTATTATTATTGCAAAAATATTTTAAGTTTTATATTAAGTGAAAAGTGTAGGATACTTTTGTCCACCTTCTATAGTATTTAAACATTTTTATAGATATTTTCTAAAAGAACTTTTTGTGAAAATTAGCTACATGGATTATAACAGATGATCAACCATTTATAGTAGTTAAATGTTCAAAATTTCAAGATTTATTAAATTACTGTAATTTAACAGTATATTTGCCGTTAGCTGATACAATTAAAAATGATATTTTAAATTATTTAAAGAATATCGAGAAAAGATTCAAATGATTTTACAGGTTAGTAATAAAATTTTTAAAAAATTTATTTAAAATAATAATACTATTTTATTATATTAATATAAAAATAAACTCTTAATTTAATTTGTTTTAAATTATTTTTAAATTAAAAGAATATTCCAGGTAAATTAAATTTTACTATAGATAGATGGACTTCACCAAATATAATTAGATTTTAGGTATAACATGTCATTATATTAACATTAATTGAAAAGTTTAAGATGTACTTCTTGATTTTATTAGTTTTACAGGTTCACATTTAGAAGAAAATATAGCAAATGCTTTTTCTCAAGTCTTCAAGAGATAAACATATTAACAAAAGTAAGTAATAATTTTATTTAATAATTATTATTCTTTTTTTTTATTATTAATAAAATATTAAAATAATATTTGATTTGTTAATTAAGATTAATTTAGTTACAACAGATAATGCAAGAAATAATAATACTTTTTTTAAAGAATTTGAAAAAATATGTATTGAGAATTATGTTGAATTTAATCATAATCAAAATTATATTTGATGTTTAGCTCATATTATAAATCTTGTGATTCAAAAAATATTAATATATATTAAAGCTAAAATATTGAAGATAAAAATTTAATTTTAAGAGATGAATATAATATAAATAATGTAATTTCTAAAGTAAGAATAAAATAAATACTTTGTAAATTTATTAATATAATATATTAATAAAGTAATAATTTTATTATTAGCTAAAAAAACTTATTATAAAAATTCGATTCTCTTCATAACAATGAGAACGATTTTTCCATCAATGTAATTTAATTAAAAAAAAATTAAATCTTATTTTAGATGTCAAAATAAGATAGAATTCTACATATTTAATATTACAGCATACTCAAAGAAGTAAGTAAATATTTAAATAATAATTAAAAATTATTTATTTATATTTTATTTATATTTATATAGCCTTTAGATGAAATAATAATTCTTGAACGTAAATTAAGAGATTTCTTTATTTTACCAAATGAATGGAATTAATAAATCAATTAGATTATATGTTAGAAGTAAGTTTAATTAATTTTTTTATTTAATATAAAAATATTATTAAAAAACTTTTATGATTTTTAGATTTTTAACAAAGCTATTGAACATATGTCAAAATCATAATATATTATACTTTTCTCTTCTATTCCTATTTATAATGTATTACTTAGCCATCTAGAAAAAATTTTAGATACTAAAAGTAATATTACTTGAAAATACGTACTGCTGTATTAAAAGGATATGAAAAACTTAAAATATATTATATTAAAACAGATAAGTCATATGTTTATTCTATAGTAACAAGTAAGTAAATTTTTTATTTTTCTTAAAACTAAAATATGTATAATATTTTAATTTTTATATTTATTTATTATTTAGTATTAGATCTTAAAATTAAATTGTAATACTATCAAATACAAAAATAAAAGCAAGAATATATAGATGCAGCATTAAAAGCTGTTACAAATATTTATAATAAGAATTATAAACATAATTTACCAATTATTATTGATAATGAAGTTGATGATCTAAATGATTTTTTTGTTAATGTTTTTAAAAAAAGTAATGAAATTAATAAAGATGAATTAGAAGATTATTTTCAAAAACCTGTAATTCCATTTAAAACAGATCCATTA